AAAAAAAAAGAAGATCAGAGAAAGGAAAATAACGACAGAATAAATTTTAAAATCGTTTATTTTTTCGGCATCTATTAACATAGTTTTAAAATTTTATTGCGACTATCGAAAATAAAGTCCGAGCTATTGTTAGTGGCCGGTTTATTTTCGCAAGATGGAACATGTCGAACAACGAATCATTTTCGAAAATATGGGACGGGATGTTTTTGCTCGTTGCCCGTATTTTATCGAATTGTTTTCATAATAAGGCGTTAGTAAATGGTATACGAACTGGGTGGTTTGTTTTGTATCTAGACCAGATGAATTGACATGGATAATCATAAACTTTCGTTTGAATGAGGTAGACTATATTTCATTAGAGATAGTATATTATTTTATTAGGAGTAAAAATGACTCTTTTTCTGGCGAGGATATATGTTTGACGGACGAGACCGATACGATCGAATTCGAAACGCTAAAAGTACCGGGTGGCCAACTCAGAATGGACGCCGGCTGTATCTCAGAAACTACTTATCCTATAACTTTGGGAAAAAAATTCTAATAAGTAAATCTACCAAGAGAAATCGCTGAAAATTATTTTCAAGTTCAAAAAACGTCCGCTAGAGGTAAGATAGAAAGATGCGGTTTGTGCTGATATTTTGGAAATTTTGTGCTCTATTTAACTGTGCAAAGAGAAATATAGCCTCCTATTTTATTTTTTTTTATGCAAAAGCGCAATATCTGTTATGATGTCAATTTTCAAATCATGTTTCTCTTGGTCGATTTACTTATTATTTTTTTCCCAAAGTTATACGATAAGTAGTTTCTGAAATACAGCCGGCGTCCATTCTTAGTAAAATACGAGAGAAAAATTATTGGGTGGTTGGGTGACTGATAAAAATTTACTGTGGAAAATGCCATAAGAAATATAAAACCGCGAATATCTGCGAAACCGTTACGAATTTTGAAATACTCTAAATACAATAAATGTTCATTTTTGAATTCTTCATCTATTGGAAAAATAATATGCAGGGTGTTTCATTTAAAAAAACAACGAAGAAAAATTATTTTATATTTTAGAATGTTTGGCCTAGATTTTTCAATGTCCTGTGTGATTTACGATTATCATATTTATAGCAAAGTAAGTACAGGGTGTCCCATTTTAGTTGAAATCATACGGTATCTCCGTTATTAGTAAAGATAGGAGGATGCGGTTTGCAGAAATCTGTGCCACTTTTTTCTCAAACAAAAGATGCCGTAAACAAAATTTTCATAGCCCTCTTCGTTCTGAGCTACAGGGTTTTTTCGAAAATTTTGCAATTCGTAAACTCCAGTTTTTTTGTAAATTTTAGTATTTGGCATATTATACAGGGTTATTGGGGTGGTTTTTTTTACCCTAACTTTAAAACACCTTGTGCAATAATTTCGTGTATATATTTTCCTAATTTATAATTTTACGGTCAGAACCACGACCCCTGAGCATTTTGTATTTTGATTCATGTCAATACCTGCTTTGGTTAATTTTTAAGAGCGAAATGAACTGATCACGATCAATTTGCAATTTTTCTAATTATCATTACTTTTTAATGTAGTTTTTTAATATGACGAGATGGTTCTGGTGACTATTGTCGTAACGTCATATTATGCTGCATTGGATACTCTATACTAAATAAAAAAAACGTTAAAAACTAACGATAGAGTCCTGGTTTTAGTAAACATTAATAACGATAACAGAACTAACGATATTAAAGAAAACATCTGTAATACTCGAGTATACAAACAGAAAAAAAAAATGTAAAAACTTTTCCTTTTACCTTACTTTGTATTGCCTCCCTTGGCTGCTATACGTTCGGTCATACTGTCATTGAGGCTGCATAATATACCATATTGCGTTATGCTTTCCCATTCTCCGTTAAGAATCAAGCGAAATGCATTTAATGAAGCTGGTATCGCTTCGCGACCTCTAGGCTTCCTGCCAAACATTTCCCAACCGGCGAACATGATGGGCATTTCATAGTAGTATATAGTTCACAATAATCACGGAAGCTGCCTTGTCATATTGAAAAATAACTTTAAAAAGAAATGATGATTGAAAAAATTGCAAATTGCTGGTGGCAAGTTCATTTCGCTCTTAAAAATTAACCAAGGCATGTATTGACATGATCCACAAAACAAAATGCTCTGGAGACATGGTTCTGACCGTAAAATTATATTTTAGAAAAATTTACACATGAAATTATTGAGTGTTTTAAATTTGGGGTAAAAAAACAACCCCTCGGTTAACCCTGTATAATATGCCAAATACTAAAGTTTCTAAAAAACTGAGTTTACTAATTAAAGTTGATATAATTATATACAGCTCGCTAAAAAAATCATGAAAATAGAGCTAAAAATAACAAAAATATAACACTTTAAATTTGACCAAAAGTTTCTCCGTTGCGTTTTTTTGCATCTGAGTGTATTTATAATTATTTATTAATATCTCTGAAACTATCGAAATATATTTACTCATATATTACGATTATGTAAAATGATCTGAAAGTAAGCCGAAAATGCAATAATATACAGGGGGTTCCATTTAAAAAAAATCGTCCCTAACCACTCACACTTTTTTGGAAGTTAAAATATTTTCCTGAAATATACCCTAGTACATATTTTAGATTTGCACTTTAAATTTCCAACTTTTTATTCTACAGTATGTTCCCGGATTGTCTTTACAAGAGCAAAAAAAAAAACTTTTTTATTTTTAACATTTTGAGCAAAATGCATTCTTTATCCCGTTTATAATTTTTCAAATTTCCATACCGTTTTAGAGAAAATTACAAGAAACATGAAAATAAGCTTGAATTTTAATTCCTAGTTTTAAAATCAAAAGACGTTTCTATGGTAATACAATTTGGATTTCATTCTTAGATAGATTGTTATTGATAGAATTTTAATTAATCACATTTGTTGCTGTTTTAAAATGTTAAAGAACCACAAAATTTTTTTAGTTCGATGCTACGAAAAAGGTCATAATAGTTATCGGAAAATGATGACGTCGATCAAAATAAATAATAACCATCTTTCAATGAATAAAATTGAAATTGTATTACCATAGAAACGCCTTTTGATTTTTAGGACTTTAAAAAATTCAAGTATATTTTAATATATTTTGTAATTTTCTCTAAAATGGTATGGAAATTTTGAAAAGTATAAACGGGATTGGCCATTTAAAAACAAGCAAAAATATTTATGAAGATGATATTGTTGTTGATATAGTATTGTTTTTTATTAAAAAAGTTTTTCCTCTTGTAAAGACAATCCGGGGACATACTGTAGTAACTACAGATGCCCGACGCACTATTGCCGAACCCTGTATGTATTTGAAAAATCTCTCTTACTACTTCTGCCACTTTCAAACTGCCGAACCTTAAATACACTTTTTTTTCGATTGTACTTATAAATAAATTAGTAGAGGGCAAAACTGTAACTTACTTATGCACTTTTTTAATATACCGGGTGCGTCTCAAAAGTGGCTCACCCCTATAACTTTTTTTATTTTTTGAGATAAAAAAAACGAGATTTGTTATGTTAGTATACGACATAAATTAGGATTGATTGACGTATTCAATTGTTTTCGGTTATTTCCTGTTTCACCAGAAATGACTACAACCTTTGATTTTTAAATGGCACCCTCTGTATTTTTTTATTTTATTCAAGAGAAAATGACACTCTGAATAGAATAACATATAACATGTTAACTTTTGACATTATCGATTTTAAAAAAATCGTATTTAAATTTCAATCTAGATGCCATGGCTGTGTTAAAAACACTAATTTTTAATCAAGGAACCTTGGAAAAATAGATTTGATCGTCTAATGTTTTTCGTGTCTTGTCCTGGCCGCTTAAAAAATTACCAAATCGTATTTTTAGTCATATCTCATTTTTTTTTAAATGGAACATTAGCATATTTAGAAAAAGCATTTTTTATGAATAATTTGATACCACACACTTGGTATTTCGAGTCAAATTGTCTTTATGAACCGGATGTCACAATTTCAAATAAACCAGATGCGAAAATGTCAAAAGTTGACATATGATATGTCATTCTATTCAGAGTCTCATTTTCTTTGGAATAAAGTAAAAAAATATCGAGGGTACCATTTAAAAATCAAAAGTTGTAGTCATTTCTGGTGAAACAGGAAGTGACAGAAAAGAATTGAATACGTCAATCAATCCTAATTAGCAAGTATAGCCGCTCACACTAAAATATGTTAATAAAAAGCATTTTTTTTTTATCTCAAAAACTGCGACTTTGACTGATTTTGATGCTATTACAAATTTTGTTGCAAATATTATTCCTAATCTTAAATTGAAAACCGCGTTTCGCTAGCTACTGTAATTTTGGAGTTACGATTTTTTTGAATTTTTAACCTCCCATACCCTCTTACCAACCCCCCACCCCCACCAAAAACTAATGGCCAGATTCTCGGATGCCACAGTATTTTTGTGCCAAATTTGGTTAAAATCGGTTTAGCGGTTTTTGAGTTATCGTGTTGACGGACAGACAGACACCATGAAAATATTTTGTATTTAGGTCATTTATGATCCAAATAACTCATTTTGAGTGAAATTAAAAAAAAAACTTTTTTTTGTCGATCTTAATAGCCTACCATACCTGTTTGGTATGGTCGGCTAAAAATAAAAGGTTGAAGGGGTAAGCCATTTTTGAGACGCACCCGGTATAGATACCATTTTGTTTTGTTAAAATCCTACTGAACCTTTTACGGAAAAATGAAAACGTCCCTAAACCGCTGAAAATTCTCAGCGACGACACCGACCTAGGTAATAAATAGCGCCTTTTCTGGAAATGACTGGCACGCATTTCCCGACGAAGGAAAATAAAACGTCTCACCTCGAGAGCGGGCGGGCGGCATTTTCCCCGCCATCGTAAATATTTTATTAGCGCCTCTTTGTACGCTTTTCTTTTCTCCGTTTCCACTGTATTTCTTTACTAAACGACCTGTTCTTTTTGTAGGGATTTTCGCCAAACACACCGGTAAGTTTCCGATTGGACCTGCTACAGTGTTGATTGCCTACTTATTGTTGTTGCTCGCTTTTTGATGGTTTCGTCGGTTTTGTTGACGCTTTTTGAATCGATTGTTGAGTGGTTTGTTTTAAAATGTTTCTGTTTTTTTAAATATTGTTTGACTTAAATAGATTTTGTGTGTTAATAGGGCAGCAAAATAAAACACTCATTTACTACTATACATCAAAACATTATACTTTTAAGAGTCTATTACGCTGTACTTTCGGGTCGCTGTCAGGGGTCGGGTAAAGCGGATGTGTGGCCGAAGGAAATATATATTATATTTCAGAAATAGCTCTATCCTGTCGTGTTAAGCCACACCCAAAATTTCAAACACACGTGCTTTGACGTTAAGGCGACTTTAAAGCTTGATTAAGATTTGCAGAGCTTCAGCATTTGCCATAAAATAGCGAGCAATTTGTTACAAAACCATATAAATTATATATCAATGTAATCAAAAAACTTCAATCTATTTCCGTATTGTAACGGAATTTTAAATTGTGGCTTTATTTTGAAAATGAAAATTTAGTCCAAACATAAGGAATATTTTGTTGATGTTTGACCATCAAAATCTTAAAAATAAAGAAGTTATCTAAAAATGTGCTACAATACGGATATTGTATAATCCTTTATCTTTAATTTCCTTCTTCATTTGTGTAAAAATACCTAGCCAGTTTTACATAAAACGTTAAATTCCGAACGCTTATTTTGCTACTTTTTCGGACCAGCGAAATGGACTCTTAACACTCGATGAGCGTTTTGTTAACCATGTTAGCATCGTCAGTAGATGATTAAAACTAGACTAATAAACTAAGATTTAGTCATCTTAATCTGAGGGATGCTAATATGGCTAGCGAATATAAAAATATAGTGTTATACCATGTGGTGCATCAGAACATGGGATCTTATAGAATTCTACATAAACTGCATTATTTTATCATTAGTTTATCGAGGGTCACAGTACAGTACCTCGTATCATTTTTGATAGGATTTTTGAGGAAATCCAAAAAATATACCTAATTTTACATTAAATTATTATTTTTTTAATGAATAATTATCTTACAGAGCCGAAATATCAATGCTCTATTACCAAATAAAATATTTTTAATTATTTTTGTGAAAATATTGCTAAAATTTAAAAAAAATAATAAACTTTTATTAAAAAAGTCATATGAGGTCCTGCCTTGTGACCCTCGTTATGTAGAATTTTATAAGGAACACAAAAAATGGTAAAAGAAATAGGGGTTGCCATTTAAAATTTTAGGGGTAGGTGCCCTGGGGGTCAAGGGATGAAAGTAACACGACAACAAATGCCTCAAAAATTGTCCCCCTTGATATATAAATTGACGTGTTTCGTCAAATTTGTATACTATCATCGGTAGAGGCAATATCAAATACTGTTCGTTTTGAAATTGTCACCCTGTATGTTCGCAGTTTAGTTTCCGGAAAGCCTATACCCAATAAGTGAACAGAATCATTTGGGGTATTGTTTGGCTGCGTGAATGGGGATTATATGACCATTTTAATAATTAGTATAGATGTTTAATAAAGTTCCTTTAATTACAAATATTCGTGTTTTTGATCATTCTAATTCCAAAAAAAAATAACAACCGTTTCTAAACCACACAAATTCTTGTAAACAATATGTAACATCAAATTTGACAATGACAAGATCATATTTTTGCTGGTATTTTAATTGTAACCTGATTGTAACTAACAAATAAAACGAAATTCTAGACCAAAGTACAACTTTAACGCCTCTTCAAAAAAGTTTAATCCAATTTTTGCATAAAACCATCTGGGGAGATAATATTTGACCTTTTCAAAATTTACTGTGTCCCGTATTCCTATACACCACACGGTATAGTAGTGAACTAGTGTTCAGAGGTGATGCGTCGACTTGCTGGAAAAATATGTTTTCTAGTTCCATTAAAGGCATATCATCAATAAGGGATCCAAAGCCTACTAGTTAAAAGTGGCGAGCTTTTAAAAATTCTGTATTGCGAAGGGGATTATAACAAAATATCAAGTGTGCTATATTTTTACCCAATAAGTGAACAGAATCATTTGGGGTATTGTTTGGCTGCGTGAATGGGGATTATATGACCATTTTAATAATTAGTATAGATGTTTAATAAAGTTCCTTTAATTACAAATATTCGTGTTTTTGATCATTCTAATTCCAAAAAAAAATAACAACCGTTCATCAAACAAAATATATCTTTACAATATATATCGTTACAAAATATATCTTTACAATAAAGATTCTTTCAGAACCTTGCAATTAGTAGAATAAATTAGTGGTTTCAATTATGCTTTATACTTTTTAGTTTACGATAATTCACAATGTGTAAAAACACAATTAAAATTGTAACGTTTTTAGTTCGTTACATGTCTTTTTTATATATGATATATATGATGTCTGGCGTATCGTCATCGGATTGCGTATCGTTCAAGCCTGATAATTTATTTGGCACGCTTGGCGTAATTTTTACGTTCCCTAGTCGCCAACCCTGTTATCGCTCTGAGGAGGCGCTGTCAACATCGCTTCTGTCAACACTCTCCGTGCTTAACCTCACTTTGTTTTGCCGCTCTGTTGTATCCTGGCTTTATGGTGATTATTTAAATCTTGCTGTATAATTTGAATCAGCTGCTATTTCAAACCAACAGGTAAAGATGAGATATTATCCTTTTAGATTCGATATTATTACTGCATATTTTTAGGGTAGAGTTTTGGATGTCCCAACTTAACTTGTATTTGTATTTTGCTGGCACGTTGGCGTCCCTTTTCTTTTGTCCTCCAGAATGTTACATGGAAGAAAAGGACAGTTTCTTTGTTTTATTATTGAGCCCTCGGAAGTAATTCGAGGTAGGTTTATTTTGTTTATTAGACCTTGTGTGGTTTTAAACAAGAGTTTCATATTTTTAGGGTCCAAGGTACGGACTATTTACAAGGTACGGGCATTATCCAAGGTCCTAGTAGTATCCAAGGTACGGGTAGTGTTCCCCTGTACCGTTATCTTATGGACGGACTGTGCCCAAGGTTATAGTCCAAGGTTATGGTCCAAGTTACGGACATTATCCAAGGTCCTAGTACTGTTCCAAGGTACGGGTAGTGTCCCCATATTGCCACAGTATGGATACAGCGTAAGCCCCATGCTGCTTCGCTCCCATTTCTAAGCCTAGTCAGTAGCTACGGCTGTATTGATTCATGGTGTCCTCATTCTGGCCCCTTTTGTTGTTTTGGCCAACAGGATCGCCGACACACAGTACAGAGATATGAGCCTACCTCACGCTGCTACTCTTCGGAACAGGATTGCCTCAAGAACAGCTAAGTGTAGATTTAGGTTCTGGTTTTCAGTCGATTTTCAGTCTTAACTTAATAACGTACATTTTAAATAATATTGTACAGACTATATTTAGTGGTTAGATTATTAAGAACATTTATGTCGATTTAGTAGTTACAATATGATTTAGATTTTAGGTTTCATTACATTACGCCTTGTAATTGTATTACTTTTTTATAGATATTATTATTGCACTAACATCATATAAAATATATCAAATTAATTAAAGTAATGCTACATTTCATATATTCTCTTAAACTTTACATGTATTTTATCATAGTTGTTTTCATAGATCTAAATATCTATGAAAATTCTTAACACCACTTTCGATGACATATAACCACTATAATAATTATTAAAATTGTACAATGCTATTTACCATCACAGTCCATCTTGAATAAATATAGTCATTAGTTTTAAGTAATATACAACTGTGTTTTCTTTCTCTGTACATGCCTGGCGCCCAATATCTATATATTTTTTTTTATTGTTATTGATTAGTTTTCTCTCTAGTGAAATACCTTACCTACGACTGCTCTCCGATGAAAAGCTGATGGCGTTCGCAGTGGTAATGTTTATAAAAAACGCTACAAAATTAATAGCATATTCTGGCAACAGCTTGCGTTAGTCAGTTGTATCCATAGAGAAAGCCTAATATTTAGCTTATAAAACAATCAACCTTTGATTTCTAATTCAAAATTTCTCTTGACGGAAGATAATCAAAGGCCGAAATGACATTTCTCGAATATTTTGTATAAGTATAATTAGTGGAAAAGTTAAAAGTTTGATAACTTTTTCTACTAATTGAAAATGTCTACCACTAATTTTGGCATTCTGAATGCTTAGGCTTCATTCAGAACCTCACAATTAGTGGAATAAATTAGTGGTTTCAATTTCACTTTACTTTTTAGTTTACGATCATTCACAATATTAAAAAAAAACAATTAAAGTTAATAAAATATCCTAGCAACAGCTTGCGTTAGTCAATTGTATCCATAGAGAAAGCCTAATATTTAGCTTATAAAACAATCAACTTTTGATCTATAATCACAATTTCTCTTGACGGAAAATAATCAAAGGCCAAAATGACATTTCTCGCATTTCTCGCAGTATAATTAGTGGAAAAGTTAAAAGTTAGATAACTTTTTCTACTAGTTGAAAACGTTTACCACTAATTTTGACCATCATTAACACTCTCATTGAAATTAAAGGAACAAATTTCTACGCTAATTGAAACCACTAATTTATTCCACTAATTGCGAGGTTCTGAATGAAGCTTAGAACATTAAAAAATATTTTCAATTTGTCGGTAGCAACTGTTCAATCTGTTCATATCAGTTCAATTTCTGGCTACGTAGATACCTGCTAGTGTGAATTTCGTTGTAAAGTTATTACGCCACGCTAAATGCAGCATTCCAATTTCTGCCACGTCAACTGCATACACTGCATATCAAACTTACGACATCGTCGCTTGTCTGGATGTGTGTACGAGTCTCTGTATATAATATATTATTAATAGATGCGTTTTGTGTACCGTCTTGTCTTGTGCCACTTATTTTTAGAACACATCTAACACTGTGCCTTCGAAATATCTGCGAGAAATTATTTTTGTATCGAACGATG